TTTTTAAAATTGATTAATTTTCATTCATAATCTTTTAGAATTTTAATATTGTTAAAACATATTTGCCTACGTAAGCTAATTGCTTCTTGATTTAGTACTTAAATCTTGTAATAGGCTTTTTACTAAAACAATTTCTATTTGATACTATGTAATTAAGTAAACTCTGAGATTCGATGTAAAAGTGATTTCCGGTATACAAGCTTCTAAATTAATTTAAATTAATAAAATGCTCGAAATTCAAATTAATTTTATATAATTTACAGTATATTTTATATAGGTGTTTCCGTTTATAAATTTTTTTTTTTTTTAGCCAATTAATTAAATATTGATATTTTAACTAGTTCAGTAGTTAATATTTAATCGTATTTTTGAGGCCATGATTTCGAAATTCGCACTTTGATATATTAATTTTATAACCATGCATATGTACGCACTCAAAATAACTTGCAAGGGCTTGAATAACACGCAGGCGCATTTTTTAGCGATCAAAGGTCATAGGTTATATGGTAATAAATACCACACATCCAAACACTGCAGTTATAATATATATTCGGATCAGGGTCTAATTTCAAATTTACCCATAACTATTCACATAAACCAAATTTATTAGATATAATTATCTAAATACAAATTATATTTTAAAATTTCAAATTCACCAACTATATAAATAATTTAACCTGACCATTTTTGTGAATTGATAATAAGTATCAATAAATTATATAGTTTTACCTTCAAAGAAAAATAAAATTGAACATTTACAGTATCTGCAGTATATATGCGGTATATACAATGTTTAAAAGAAAAATATTTTTTTTAAATTAAACTAATTAAATTAAGAAATTAATTCTGCAGCTTGTAACCATAAACTACTAGGATTAAGAATACTTTCATCATCATAGTATAATCTATGGGTAGCTGGTCGAAACATAAATTCATTTATCTTATCAGGGAATTCTAAATCATGAGTTTCACTATAAGTTAATGTTAAGAAAAACATTGCAACATCAGTGGCAAAGTTTTTTGGTATTTGAGGAGGGGAATCAGTGGTGCTACTTGTGATATTACTAATTTGATTATAGAGATCATTTACATTTACTACATTTCCACCAGGGAATGAAGAGTAAGACATACTTCGATCATATAAACCACCGACAGAAACAGTAGCTATATTAGCCTGTTCTGCTAGATATTGAGCAGTCTGTGCACAAGAAGATACACAAGCGCCATTAGTAAGCACAATAATGTCCTTATTCGTCCATGGAGAATTCCAACCATTTATAGCAGAATCATTTAATATATCGAAAAATAGATTGGAAAATTTTACAGTTTTGCCACCTCTTGTGAATTCATTGTTACCAATGAATTCATCAGCGTTCTGAAATGGCTGACCAGTAACTATTGACTGCTCTTGATTAGGTGAAAAACTTAATGTTTTAGAACCAAGTCCTTCTTTATCAGCTTCGTTAATAAGGAATGTTGTAACATCATTAATCTTAATGTCACGTGG